TCCTCTTCACTAGGAGGTTAGAGTGGGGGGCTGCAACGACACCCAGTGTAATCTCAAGTTAGGGAGCAATTTGGTGTTTGCTTTCAGCAGTGCAGCTTTAACTATAAGATTGTCTACATTGAAACTAGCATAAAATTTTATCAAGATTATTTTTGGCTCGCCAATTTTCGAATGGTGGGTTGGATAAGAGAAAATGTTCGGTTGCATGATAATATTCTGTCTTTTTTTCTCTTAAAAGCCTTGAAGAAAATTTAGTTTTTCGCTCGTAAACCTTAGACGGTATCTGAGGCAACATTTACTTTGATAGGAAAGCCAATCTGAAAGTCAAAAGCTTTAAACCGCTTACTTTTTGCATTCACAAAAGTGTTGGACTCTTTTGTCGAGACAATTATAGAATTAACAAGATGTTTAGAGAGTCTTATACAATAAATAAATTGATTCAGAAGCGTAGACGTAAAACATAACAAACTGCGAGAGTTACTTACTTTCGTAGGTAATAAAATTAATATAAAATAAAGTTGACCACTCGGCCAAACTTCAATATAATGTATTTCATCCTCTACATTGGACTGGATTAACTATGAGATACTGTTTATTACCAAACAAACTCACGGGATATAAAACAATAAAATTTTAAGCTTAGTAGTTTAGGTAGCGATAAGCAAATAATATCTAGGTAGGATGACCAAAACTGTAAGTACTAAACTAACACAGTTAGCCATAAAAACAATAAGAGTAGGCGCACCCCGCCGTTGATTTTTAGTTGGCCGATAGTTGTGCCCGATTTTAATTTCTATGAAGAATCGGCCAAATCGAATCGGCGTAGTGTGCGCACTCCCATACATGCCCATACTGATCAACTGCCCGACTAAACTATCGGCCGACGAAAAATCAACGGTGTGCGCCTACTCTAATTAATATTATTTACATTAAGTTTATGTTTATTTTGCTATCTAGTAATTTCAGGCTCTTATTAAGGGATGTCACTAGAGTATGAAAGGTTAAATAACTAGACATTAACCAAATGAATACGGACCTTTAAATAGTAGTAATATTTAAAATGTTGATACGTCATAACACTCTACACGAATATAAAATGAGTTGTCAGATCAAAGTACTCTTATCAATTCGATAAATTGCTACTAAGCATGATGAATATTTTAAATTATTCCAAAACAAATTGGCCTTTGTTACCACCTACAAAAGCAATAACAACTAAATAATGAATTTAGAGGCTAAGCATTAAATAAATTCTTATTCGAGTTTATGAAACAATGAATTAATAATTCCAGAATACTTGAAATATAATTTGATTGATTCGGAAAGGTGCCTTTGTTTAGTGAAATTGTTAGCGTCAAGTCTATTTTACAGAGTTGTGTTTTTTGATTTGGTTTACGTAAAGATCATTAACGATTAATTTGTGTAAGTAAATTTATTTTAAAATATTGTTACTTTTACATAAATTACTAAAGAAAAGGCAAAGTTGTTTTTTGGTATTAAAATATAACAAAAAGAATTCTAATTTAAAAACTTTAATTGAGAACCTCGATCCTCCTTTTGTTGTAGTCGGTTAAAAATTAGGGTAAACCACCCAATTATTGGCACTTTAAGCAGCTACTTCACAAAACCGGTAAAATTTACATGTAAAAATATGTTTTATCAAAGATAAAAACATATTTATTGGTCTTTTAATCTTTGCAGAATATTATAAAGTACTTATCATTAATAAATTAAATCATTTATTCAATATAGTGTACCTTTTAAAAAATTACCTTAAAATACCAGTTGTTGGCATAGCCAAACCTTTTATTGGCAGTGATAATTACCTACCTATTATTGGCACTGTTCTCGCAAGACTGAAAAATAGCTGCTAGGTCTTATGTAGAGGTTTTAAAGAGATTCATGATAGAAATAAACAAAATAAAATCCTTTGTTAAAAGAAAAGTAACATTTTTTTTGTATAGGAACATACCATATCAGTTCAAACGCTTATATTTAAATATGGTTTTAAACTTTCCATAACCACTTTTATCAAATCTTCTTTTCTCTTCGGAAATCCTTTTTTGCTACTGATTTTTATTTTATCCAGTCAACAAAAAGCTGTTCTTCCTCGTCAGTTAAAACTGTGAACGGACCGGTCTTAGAGCGATGATCAGGATGTTTCAATCTGAATTGTACAGTAGACCATGGCACCACTTTCAAAGCCTTTCACAGGCTTATTCCACTAATCCCCGTCAACGGGGAGTAGTGAACTTTTTATTCGTTAATCCCCGCTAACGTCAATGGAGCTTATAATGGGGATTAATGAACTAAAAAGTTCATTAATCCCCATTACTTTATTTTATTTTTCTTTATTCAGAAAACTACGTTAAAAAATAAAATACTAATATAAGAATCAGGTACCTTCTATTTATTATTGGATAACAACTCACTTATTGATTATTTTTATAATCAAATTAAATTAAATTCAAGCCTGATTACAAAGCTATTAATTTACACCATTTTTATCTTGTTACATTTTGGGCCAAATTTGTATGTAATAGTTTCCATCTTCTTTTAAATGATGAATGAGGAATAACGATTCAATATCCATAGTGCTTTTGGTTAATCAGGTAAGTGTTAATTTTTTTTTAGTATTGTAATCAGTCTTAAATTTAATTTAATTTGATAATAAAAATAATAAGTGAGTTCTTATCCAATAATAAATAGAAGGTACCTGATTCTTACATTAGTATTTTATTTTTAACGTACTGGGGATTAATTAACTTTTTAGTTCATTAGTTTCCGCTGTAAGCTGGATATTATATCTTCAGTCGAAGAGTGAACACAGGGAATTCTGCCGATAGGTGCCTCGGTGAGAGGTATTTCTTTTATTAGGGTTTTGTGCAGGATCGTGGAATGTCCTGTCTCCTTGTTTTGCTTCTACAGGGTGTTAGGTAAATGGGTATATGAGCCGACACTAGCCCATGTTAACATGGTCATATAAATGGTTTGGTGAAGTCAGAAAATTGATATCTTCATTTTAATAATTTAAATTTTCATAGAAATCGGATTTTATAAAATTTATTTTGTATGAATATTAAAAAAATTAAAATGATGATATCAAATTTCTGACTCCACCATACCATTTATATGCCCATGTTAACATGGGCTAGTGTCGGCTCATATACCTATTTACCTAACACCCTGTATATGCCGTTCTTACCTTTAAGTCTTAGAGCGGCTGCTTGCGCTTCCTCCTGAATGATGAGGTCTAAAGATCTGAGATTCAGAAGGTACTCAAGTGATGTCGATGGAGTGGTTCTCATACAACTAGTGGCCGCTATGCTTACTAGGCGTTGCAGGCTTTGGAGTTTTGATCTTGCTGTTGATAGTTGTGTTCTGTGCCACCACACAAGTGATCTATAATATTTTGTGTAAGAGGGCCATATAACCGACGTGTAGAGCCAGTGTTATCTTTGGGTTGAGACCTCATCTACTACCAATGAGTCTCTTGCACTGATGGAATGCTATACAGGCCATTTTTATTTTGTTCTCGACATGACTCGCCCAGTTCAATTTATTGTCTAAGGTGATGAGTTTTGTTTATAAAGAGTTCTGGTAGTTGGAGCTCTTGTAAATTCTATAATGCACTTATTAAGTACTTTTATTGACAACGTAAAGGCTTTGAAAGTGGCTAAAAAGATAATATTTTTTATTGGCACCTTTTTAACCAATGTTTGACACCCGTGCCAATAAATGGATTTTATATAATTGGCAGTGGGCCAACATTTGGATTGGTGTATCCAAAACGTTAGAAAATATTTTAAATGCAATTTAAACTCAATTTTGAGACAAATAAGGTATAATTTTTAATAAACTCAAATTATTTTAAATACCCTTTTATTGGCATGTGTGCCAATAAAATGGATAAACAGATTTTACGCATACCAAATGTTGGCACACTACAAATAATTAAAAGTTGGCGGTTAAATTATAAAATAATGTTTTAAAAAGGCAGTTAATATATTCAATAATAAGACAAAATGATTATGTATAAGAACAACAAAATAGATTTGCATTTTTTTAAAAGATTATGATAGCTCTTACCTTAGTAAAAAACGAATATTTCGATTGTTTTATTCGCACAGGTCCCGGTTTGTCAAACAAATGGTTGAAGCGCCGCGATGTTTGAAAAAATCAAAAACGTGTGTAGCCAGTTGAGTAATAAATGATATTACTCTTCAATTTCTACTAAAAAATATAAGGTTTAACTACAAAGAATCTTAATTTTCTTAAAAAACTGGAGCATGCCAATAAATTGGTAGAGTGCCAATGATTGGGTGGTTTACCCTACGTTAGCTCCTGAAATAACAAGAAAACAAATGAACATCATTACACGAAAGGAAAATAAGCGTTTTCGATTTTATGAAGCCATATAAACATGAGCCTAAATTTTGTGGTCGGTCTTTACATAGCCGATGTTAGTGAAAATAGGAATCGTTATTTTAGGGAGTAAGGAACAGGCTTTATAAATTATTCACTCAATAAATTGAAGACATTTTGATAAAAGTGAACTAAAAATACTAATAAAGTTAAGCAATATTGTCAAAGTTGGCAAATGTTTTAATAAAATGTTGCTATTATTTATTATGAATTCCACAATGAATGTCCAGAGCTCGTGTTGAAATTTTTTTGTTTAACCTTTTGGTAAATATAACATAGGTACCTACTTACTAATTATGTTCATAGTGAGAATATCATAAAGTACACAAAATTTCCAAAGAATATACTTATATTCTGCACCTTACAGTCAATTTAATTCTACCGTACCGCAAATGAACTGTTCTGTCAACAGTTATTACCGCAACAGCCGTCACATGCTCTCTCCAGTGTTTTTATTTACAAAAATCTCAACGAAGTGGTCTGCGGTAGAAAAATATTTTCGCGGGTCGAGAGGCAAAGCAGCCATGTACGAAAATTTATTTTATTAAAATTGAATAAACACGCGGGAGCGGCGAACAAAAATAACACATCTAGGCCGCGCTCGCGCCGTGAATTTTAGTTTCGCTTTTACGAGAGTCCACTACGATCATATTCGAAACATTTTGCGGGCAAAAATACAAAAGTGAAGCTATAACGTTTTTAACGAAGTTACCACACTTTTCAACTTTGGCGGTGCAGTGTTTGACATTTTTGTGCTGCGGTGAAAAAGTGCTCTCGCGAAAACATGTTCAATCATACGAGCAGTTCATGCAAAGTTGGTTCTAGTAATTATAGCAGGAAAGGCGATAGTCCCAAAAAGAAAGATGGTAAGTTTTATGCGCTCTATTTATGTGTGCTGAAAAATGTGAAATATCTACCGTAGGTTGTGTATTTTCAATACAAATGCGGGTATTTTTCATAAAATTTCAATGGTCTGTTTCAACTACGATACTATTTTGTTTCTTTTTGTCTTGGTGAAATTTACATTTGATAGAAATAGACAAAGCTAAAAGAGTGTTAGTTATAACAACAACATACTCGTATGTTATTTTAAATAAAGAGACAGCTCTTTATTTAAAATAACATGTTTAAAATAATCAGTCTTACGAAAAAGATAAATTGGCAATACTTAAGTAGGTACATAATAACATTTTTATTATGGACCACTTGAACCGAATTATACATTAGACCGAATGGGTACCAAACAAGTTCTAACGAGACGCATTATAAAGTCTCATGACGTGACTGTCAACTATTAGTTTAACATGTTCAAGCGCAGTTGTATCTGAGGGAGGTATTTTCCAAACCACTGAATGGATCCATTAACCACAATTCAATTATCTACTTTTGGGAGCAAATAGGCGGAAAACGAGTATACCTACTTGAATAAATATTTAAATTGGCCAGTTAAAAGCTTACGCGGTCTGTAAACAGATACACCGAAAACAACGTTTGACTTTTAAAATCGTTTTATAAAAAATAAAACGGGCTGGCCTTTTTATCTCAAATGTTTTAAGAATTAGTTTAACTCCCAATCATTCCATACAAAATACCTAGCCACAAACTTAGCAGATCTTGTATTATGTATGTCGACTAACGGATGGTCATTTTAAATCATAATGTTATTAAACATCATACTCATTACTCCGGGTAAAAATATCGTGCTCATCATGAATGGTAAAGAATGAATGAAATCATTAACATATTAATTTATTTCTAAAATATGGTGTATTTAGTATTATGTAGCCTAAAGAACTCTAAACACCAAGCCCGTTTAAAGCCCGGCTGCTTTATTTCAAAAGCATCATCTGGATGACTGCACTTTCTAGGACTTGACAATTTTATCTAAAGCAGACTCGACAACTCATGTCGGCGGGTCGGCGAGTGTGTGCTAATAAATTTAAAATCTGGAGTGTTTACGCGAAATAATTCCAATTATAATGACGTATGCAGATTGAATTTAATATTTAATGCGAAAGCAATGGCTGTTAAAGCAATCCCAAATATAAATGAGCGATATACCTAAAACGGTGTTTTTCATACACGCCTGGATGTTAGCTTTGCGATTTCGATGAGGTTTATGCGTGTTTTTACGGTTATTACACCGATTCCAATCTTCATAACAACTGAACCTTTCTGATTTAGTGTACGGTTTAACTTCTGAACGCCGGTTTTTTATTTGACATTGAGTTATGTTATCGGCCTGATCCAGTCCAATATAAATAAATTGGGTCAGAAACTAATGTTGTTTCTTCGGATTTGGCCGTAACTGCGTAAATGGAACGATTTTGAGAGCTACTGAAGTTCTTAAACAGTTTTTGGGATTTTGGACACATAAAGTAAGATAATGGATTTACAGTCGATGACGTAAGAATAGCGAATGAATTGATTAATGAATGGAGGCATGAGTCATGACAGAGACTGCAAGAGTGATTTATGTAAGTGTGAAAGAGACGACGAGCAACGACTAAGGTAAGGTAAAATAAGCGAAGTGGATTGATTAAGATTTAAGGAAAGACTGAATCAGAAAAGCAATTTAACAGATGTAACTAAAATCATGAAAACGGGCTAGAAATATCAATGAAAAATCTTATAAAATCCACATTGTCGTCACTCCTACAACAATAATCGAACACTTCACTTACTTTTATCGCATCAATGCGATGGATACCTACAGATCAGATACAGCCAAACCCCTGCGTACAATATTCAGATAGCGTAAGTGCACTAAAGTATCAATAATACGCCGTCAGTGTACGAGTACTGCGCCTGCATTAAAATAATACTTGCAACAGGAACTTTTGCAAAGATTTTCTCCATGAGTGCCGGCGCCAGAAAATTATCAGCCAAGCGCGAAATTAAAGTAGCCGTGAACGGCATAAAATTAACTAAGACTCTTCTTCCACTGCCTCTGTTAAGGTCTTAAGCTAGGTTTGCTGCTAAAGTTTTGGCATTACTCCCGAAATGTACGTATCTTGTTTCTTTTTGCGGCTGTGGCAAAGGAATCAAGGCAGTAGGATTTAAGAAATAAAAATGCTTCTTAACACTTTCGTGGACAGTATTTCAGACACAATAAAGTTTTGTTGTGAAAGTTTGATATAAGGAACGGAATATTACGTGTGTGTTTGTATTATACTTTGTCAGTTGCAGGGTGAAATGCCCAATTTTAGACATAGATACTTGTACCTTTTTGATTTCAGTACAATTTTAGTAATATTGTGAAAAGTTATTTAAACCGTTCTCCAAACTAATTAAATAAAGTTTATTAATATGCATCTATATTTCCATGTTTACACCTAAATGTCGTAAATTACAAGTGGCTGGTGATAAACGAGAGTTTGTTAACATTAACTTTGGGGAAAGGTTTAGATGGGTAATAATAGACACTGTTCTAAACCATTCGAGTATATTAATAAACTTTCAAGAAGATTTAAACAGCATTTTGCATTTAATGAATTTGTGTTGGTAAAATGATATTATTTAAATAGAGACAGATGTCCAAAAATGAACTTACGTCTTATGTTAAAACTATTAGGAAAAAAAACTAAAACATATCTGTTTAAAAAATAGGATAAAAATGCCTGGAAAATTTTACCTTTTGCTTGATTCTAATGAAATAAATCGAAAAATTTCCACATAAAACGTATTTAAACATGTTGTCGGTTCAAAAGGGTTTGGAATTTTCATTTGTGGACAAACAGCCCATATTTTGGATAGCGGTGGATGCAAAAATTCAAAGCCCCGGCTAGGTTCTTTAAATGTGTACTTACGTAAGCCGTTTGCATATTTGAAAGTAAGATTCCGTCCGTCTGTATCCTGGAATCCAGGAAATGCCAGTTGGCCCCGATGGCTCTTTCATATATTTATGAGGCGATTTAGTTTTGTATTGTCCTTTACAAACTTCTGTCTGTCAAGCATATTTTACCTTTCTTTCTGAAAACAGTTGGAATTTTCTCTTTGGCGACTCAGTGCAGCTTTAATTTTGCCTTTAGCAGGTTTATTAAGCACGCTTGAATGTTAGAAAATGTTGCAGAATTTCAGACTTTCAAAACTTTGTCCAAAATTATTTTGAACCACGCCACGATGCGAATTTAACACCGAAGAAATGAATTATCATTCCATATGAGTTGAAATTGATATTCTCAGTCAAATTTAATATGATTGGTAAGTAAGTCTCACCGCTACAGCTGACACGGATTCGATATGCGACAGAATACGAAACACGAGAGAGGAATAATTTATGTGAAGATGCATGACGGTCTGCAGTCAGTCGCATCCAGATATAAGGTCGTGGAACCTTGCCAATGCGATTTTATGTTTTTTTTTTCACGCGTATGCGTCTTAGTCACAAACTAAACATGGCTGAATAAAAAAGATAGCGAGGAAAAAACAAACACTGAACAGACTTTTTGGCGGGAAAGTGAAGCGTCATGTTGGTTTTTTTCTAGTATAATTTATTGGTGGATTACTAACCTTTGTGCTCGTGATCTCGTGAACGTGCATGATTTTATGCAAATGAAACAAAACAGTGCAACATTAGTTTTCAAATTCTCCCATAAAGTCCATGAGGGGAAAGAGAGGAATCTCATCTACTATCATTATTCATTACTTACATCATATAATTAAGTTTAAACTAGCAAAAATATATAAAGACTTGGTTTGGCTGTATGAAAATATTTTATGCCTTTGCAAAAAAAAAAGAATGGAATAAAAAAGCTAATACCGATAAATAGTAACGGCCATTTTGCTCGCACCATGCGTACTGGCCGTTGTAAAAGTCCGAGAAAAAAGGTGGCGAGGAGGAAAAATAAAACAAGCGACGATCAAAACAGAAGTGACAAAAGGCTATCTCGATACGGACACTAGAAGGAATGCGGCCCCATTTCATTCGTCCTTTGTTTTTTTGTTGGCCCGTTTTTGCAATTGTCTGTCAGAGTTAGGGTACAGCGAAACAGCGAATTGGCAAATTGGAGTGTTAAACAACGACATAATGATAAATGACTATTTGAAACCTCTATTTATTTATTAAGATTTTCTAATGAACATTAACTTGAGTTTAATAAATTGGTTTTGTCGCTTCCTCTTCAACGAGTCTTACATACTGTGAAGTCCTAAAATTTTGCATATTCTTATCAGGTTTCAATCCGCTCCTTCTATGAGCATACTTGTACCGTCTTCACACGATATCAATCGAACTTCAGTCGTGCATCAAAGGCGGCCCTCGACGGGTTTCGCGTTGCGAACCTCGTTGTAAACTATAATATTATCGCGATGTTCACTCTTATTCAGAATGATATCTGCTACTCCTCGAGCGAGCTCTCAAGCTAAACATATTGGTTTCATAACGTATAGGATGAAAATTGTTAACTTTGCGAGTTTCTATCTAAATATTAGGTATTGTTTCATGCTTACAGTGTAGTGTAGAGATGTTTTGGCAGGTTAATATTGTAATTTGAAATGTTTTAAACATGAATACCAACTTGACAATGTTAACATACACACACAATATAGAATGGTATTTCAGAGTAAGTAAAAAATCAAGGAAAGAATTATAATAAAATAATAGGTACCTACTTTAGTTAAAGTTGAAAAACTTTGTCATCTAATCACTAGAATTAAAAAGTATAACGACTGGGATTAAAACTTTTTGTACGTCAACAACCTGAATATTTTTTTTAGTTTTATAGAGTCTACAAAGTTCTGTAAATAAAGCACTAGCATGAACAAAAATTATAGGTAGAATATAAATTCTTTGCAACAAAGTTTTTTTTAAATAAACTAATATTCTGATATTTGAATAACATCATTACTAGGTTTATAAAATATTCCATCAAATAAGACGCAAAAGAGCAAAAGTTCTATATCGGTGTTACGAGTGTTGCTTTGTTTCCCAAGTACAGAAACCCTTTAAGCCTCTTTGTACGTGCGCTGATCTTTTAAGAGGATTTTTTGGAGTGTATTAATAGGAAGATACTGCTGTATTTTGATACACTTAGGCTGAGTTGCACCACCTAACTTTGACCGTAACTATAACGATAACCGTTATTTTTTGTATGGAGTTTGACAGATTTTTGACGTTTGATAAAGTCAAAGTAAGATGGTGCAACCCAACCTTAGCCTAACACCGCCCACTACAACTGCCTTTTGACGTCACATGAAGTCGTAAAACAGGGGTTTTAGATATTTATTATTTTCTTCTAGAAGCATCTTTAATGGGAGAATTTAGGATATTCTGTCACATTATCGTATAGCGTGAGTAGACACTAGATTGGATCAGATGCACTGAAGATTAAAACAGGCAGTATGCTTTATACCATAGCATGTTCAATACGGGAATATTTAAAAAAAAGCAGCCGGTGCCAAGGCGAAGTTTAGTAGGTAAGCAAAAGACGAAAGTTTGATTGCGCTCGCTATTCCGTTGTAGAGCCACGATTTCTTTCTTTACATTAATGCTAGCGGCAAGACTTTATTTTCTTGACCCTGGTCCGGGTTCGATTCCCCGACAGTTCACCCAAACTGAAAAAGAAGGATAATTCCCAAAATTAAAGATTTTACTGTTTTGTCGGCACATTAAAAGGAAAAAGTAGGATGAAGATAACGCGTCCTTCAGTTATTACACTAAACCAGGTTGAAATTTACTTTTGTATGTCTGGGCTGAAACGCTGGCTGTAAAAGAATCTTATCTAACCCCACCTTTTCACTCGTTCTTCATTGCGAGGTCCCGAGATAGCTCCTTTGGCCGAGATTGCTTTTGTCTCGAATCTGCAACTCGGATAAGGAACAGAAACTAAAAAAAAGGTTAATTAATACTTACACAATTTATTACACAGTAATCTAGAGCTCTTTTGAAGTTGTTATTACAATAATTTCTGTCTCTTTTGTGGAATTAAGGATAAATACCTAAATAAGAGCTCGATTAGTAACAAAATTTTCTGTGGCTCACAAGTCATTTTATTTGAAGCAGAAAATTCATAAATTAAAAAAAAATATCCATACAATAAAGAAGCAAAAGGCTCATATAGTTCTTTCAACCCTCACATTTGAAGAAGTAGATATTTTTTTAAATTGTTTGTTTGTATGTATGTAATAGGCTCCGAAGCTACTACTGGACCGATTCGAAAAATTTGGTCACCATTAGAATCCTACTATATATTATTTATATATAACATTAATGGTACGAACGAAGCTCGCCGGGTGAGCTACTTAGTTAAACAATAAATAAATTCAAATTTATTTTTATTAGCTACGTTCAGGGCTGAATTATGACAAGTAAGCTGAAAATGCTGGCCCATGCCTTATCTTATAACACCTTCTCTCCCACTTCATTGCGTCTCAAGACACTTCTTAAGATGTACCATTGTCTTCAATTCACAACTTGAAGAACGTTGGAATAAAATAATGAAGTCTCTAACAAGATTATTAATTAGACGCTTTGAAAGAGTGAGAAGTGTGGCTCAAATTAAATTCTCAAGTTTTCGACATAAGTAATTTTCGTTAGGAAATTAGGGTACGAAAATTTTACTTTATGCAAAGATTAATCTTTGGCTTAAGATAAGATTATAAAAGCACTCTTTGTTGTTGCTATTTTACAGTCCTAATCAATAAAATTCTGTAATTTTAAAACAGCGTGTAAGACTTCAGATGACGAAATTCCTTTAATGTATAAACGGCGGTACATAAAACATTTCTTGTACTTGTAGTAGGAGCAATTTTGTAACAAAAATACATGAATCAAGTGTCGCCTGTGCCTCAGTGTTCAAACAGCGTTGTGACGTGTGAAATTTTCTGGTCCGTGTTTGGAAACTCATGCAATGTGCACTCAAGAATAGACCTTAATTGCATGGATCCGTGTCCGAGTTGAATCGAGTTTTGATCGTCGATTCAGAAGCAGCGTAAATCCGTCCCCGCCTAGTAGCTTGCACCAAACAGAACGGATTTTTCGCAGGCGTGTTAAGGTGTGCTTGTTATTACAGTTTGTTTGGCAGATAGGGCTGTACTCGTTAGTTCGGAGCGGATTCAGGATTTCTTCAAAAGCCGCCTTTATCTGCCTTGTTTTGTGACTCTTTATAATTCCTTGGGGTATGACCACCATGTTAAGCTTTAGAATTTTTCGAAACAACGTTCTTTTTGAGAACCGAGCGAACTTTTGCACGGGATCGTTAAAGTTTTTTTCTAAACAAAGTGCTGTCATTTATGCAGGCTGTTTTATGTTTCAGGAAAGCTGGCTGACAAGTCACCTCGTGGTAAGCCATCATTATCTTTTATCACATTAACAGTCATTATTTTGGGTTAGTAACAATCTTGATATAGATCTATACCAAATTCAATTTACACGCATTCTAGATACGTTTATTGGATCAATTAGTTTGCTAAAGTTATTTGATTGTGATAGTTAGTAATAATTAAAATTTAACGGTCTCTATGGTTACAATGATAGATAAATAGTTTGATACACTTTAATAGACGCCAATGAAAACAACTAGAAACACGGACTATTTATACAGAACAATTTAGGTATTCCTATCTTTAGGTAGCGATTCCTATTCATCAGACCGTGAGATGTTGGAATAAAAATATTAACACAATGTAACGATTTTTTACAAATATCGTCAAGAAGATGAGTTTCTATGCTCTACGTTGTACGTAAGGTCTAAGAAATGCCACACATGACTTCATACATTAACCTAGAACTGGTCTGGCCATGATTCTGTGTGGTTACGCATTCCCTCTGCCTTGGCCTTAAACGTACCGTGCGGTTCAGCAGACTATCGTGTGTAAATAAATAGATGTATACAGGTATGTATTAGTGTTTATGCAGTGTTTAGCTACTACCCAGATTGTTGTGACGGTGATTTCATTTATGGAAATAGCGTTACGTAAATTTAAGTCAGTCTTAACTATTGTTGGTATAGTGTATTATGCCGTGGGTTTAGAAGTTATAATTAGGAATTTATCAATATCAGGCTAAAATAATTAGAAAACATTAAAATTAATCATCAACTGACTGGCCTTCTTTTCAAGACAACTGAGGTCACAGCGTGTTTTTCGAATTAGATGTTTTATTTCAAAAATTGAGATTTATTACATTTTGTGTGACATCGACCTAGCTATACTAACCTTTGCTTTAGGGGTTATGAAACAAACAGATGAAAGACTAAGGGCTGAGTTCCACCACTAATTTTAACCGTAACTACTTATAACGATAAGCGGTGCTTTTTGTATGGAGTTAAAGTAAGATGGAGTAAAATGTTGATTATGTTTTAGTTTCGTAAGATTGTTTGTGTTTATAGCCAGAATTTGATTTAGAAATTAAGTGCGAAACACAATATTGCGAGTAGGTAAATGTATATTTAAGTGAAAAAAAATCTTGATGATGTAATGAAATTATACTCAGTGTTTCATAACGTACTTAAAATCAACACTTAAATTTAAAAAAGATCGCAATAAAACCAATACCCAAAATACTTAAAATTAGCAAATTCCATAAATCCATAAGCCACTTAACCATTTAACTGCCTTCCAATAACGTCAGACACCATCACCCAGATCATTACATAACCGTTTCGAGCCGTCAAATAAAGATTTTAATGTATTAAAAGATCTATCGGAACGATCAATAGGAATATGAAGGGGACATAAAATAAAATTGGATGTAATAAAACGGGTAATACCTGGTGGTGCGGCCGTGGCATATCGTATTCCTAGAGCCATAAGACTTGGGCCATAAAACCCGCGTTAGAAACGCGTTTGAGCAAGAAAAGTAAACATTGGCGTCAAACAGAAACTTGATTACAATTTAAAAGATTACTCAGTTATATTTTAAAATATAAAACGACTTTGTGCTTAAAAAAGGTTAACTACTTTTCTGTTTCAAAAATAACCTGTTCCTTAAAACAACCAAATCTAATAACAGTTACTACTTCTGCGATAAAAGTTGAAATTAAGAACTAAAAGCTCTGTTTAATGTTGATACTACACCATATTATTAAGTAAATAGAATATTATGCATGAAGTTAGGTTAAGTACAACTAATAATTACTTACTTACATGTCCCAATAAAAATATGGTAGGTATTTCTGTAACCCATCTAAATCTCAATACTCCGGATGCATAAATATAGCCCGTTTACTGATCTCTACTTAAAAAAATACTCTCATTCTATGGCCCAATGTAACAGTTACGTGCAGCGACGATGTCTGCTATATCCATGGTCGGAGTCCAGGTTTATATCGTTAGGTGCGCTGTGAGCATTATGCCCAATCCGGGCGGAGCGTTTTATTATGTGGATGTGTCCTTTTTTACCCGCCTCGGATATTGTTGTAAAGTAGATATTATGCGGGCGTCGAACTGGTTAACATTGTGATACTATGTTTTTTTATTTACTAAATAATTTAGGAACCACTAGTCATTTATTTATTTAATTAGTTAAATAGGGGAACGAAACCAGTCATCATCATCATCATCATTTCAGCGACAGGACGTCCACTGCTGAACATAGGCCTCCCCCAATGACTTCCACATCGCACGGTTGGTAGCAGCCTGCATCCAGCGCCTTCCTGCTAACTTTACCGTCGGTCCACCTTGTGGGTGGACGTCCCACGCTGCGTTTTCCGGTACGCGGCCTCCATTCCAGTAATAATTGTCAATTTTCAATAGTAACACAGTGTTCAACGTCGTGATATTTTTGAACATTCTTTTTCTTATTATATATTTTTTTAAATAATGTTGGATTTTCCTATTAAGTTTTTTCCCTTCAGACTCTATTACATTAATAAGGCGTATACATAATTTATTTAGGCTTCGCGAACTTTCATTTAAAGTTTAAGGGATTAAACACAAATTACCATAATAATACCTTTGCAAATCTGAACTCAGATTAGATCTCAATTGCTTCATACAAGTACCTAGCATAGATAAAATGAAATTGAAATGGCGATAAAGGCTAAATTTCAATATTCATAGCTTTACCTTAGCCGGCTGACCATAGCAATTAAACTAATGGCCCTAATGAACGCAAACGGCAGCTATCTCGGTGGTCGAGCGCACTGTGTACTAAATCACCGGCTCGATTACAACTGTTACAAGAATTGTCGTCAAATTTATGGTGTTACTACAGAAATTGAAGAAAGACGTCACTATTTGAAACGTTTTCGTAATTCTGAAAAAATTTTTAGATGGCAAAGTGAGATTCTCTAACAAGTCGTCAAATGCTATTGTTGTTTTGGTTTTCAGTCAAGTAACGTTAAGTATACGAAAAGAAAATACGATGGTAAGTATTAATATAATGAGGTTTATAATAAAATTATTATAATATAATGTTAAATATGTCTCATAAAAAGCTCAACATATTTTATGAGAACATTATGAACGTTATGATGGCAAGAATATTATTATTTTTGAGCTTGGAGGTTTTTGAGCCACAGTAATAGCATTGATGTAGTAAGAAAAACAAGAAGATTTTTTGCAATTTCAATATTGCTTCAGGTTTTAATAACATAAATATTTAATTGAGCAAGGTTATCCTATATTATTAAAGCGAAAGTTTGTGTGGATGTCTGGATGTTTGTTACTCTTTCACGCAAAAACTACTGAACGTATTTTGTTGAAACTTTACAGTATTATTGTTTATAACCCAGATTAACGTATAGGCTATAATTTATGACGATATGTGACACTAAATTTCACGCGGGTGAAGCCGCGGGCAAAAGCTAGTGGTAAATAAAGTAAAAAAAAATACATGAATGATTCTTAAATAATATTAATACACGAGTAACTTGCTGATTCGAATAAAATCGAGCTTGGTTCGCCTTTATTCCAGTTGCAATGCTTTATTGAGAGCAGGGATTATGACCTGGCTTACGAAATCTTGACCACGTTTTCAAGAAGGCTCAAAGGGCCTCCTTGGGGACTGATAATACCCAAACCAACGCCAATGGGTTCAAGTAAGGTCAAGTTCGATTTGACCTACCTCCTTATAATGTAATACCTACTTCGCTGTAGTTAAGTTGTGACTCTTTAGAAGTATTTACGTACAGTTGTCTTTGTGTAGTATACAAGAGACAATATTAGTATACAGAAGACTTTATTGTTAATTAAGAAAAAGTTTTTAGGTTGTGACTAAAAACATTGTCAAACAAATATTGTCTCTAAAGGTAATGTAGGTACGTTACTAAAGAGTAACGTACCTACATTACCTTTGTTTATTAATTATAAATTTTGTCTAACAGAAGCCTTTATAATCCAATTAAAAAAGTGTTTGGTGCTTATTAATTAAGTTAGGGCAGACAGTTTTCTTTGACAAAAAGTGACTTCCAAACTAGGACGAATATCACAAGTTCATTCGTTGTCTTTGAAATAAATTATTCATCTATTTTTTCCCGTGTCACTCACTCACAAAAAGTGGGTTAAAAAAATGTTAGGCCTTTATGGCGAAGCCTTATTAATCGCTTTAAATTAAAATACATTATTCAATCAAGATACAAAGTTATCGAACGTATGACTTAGACATTTTCCTCTTCTTTTCTCTTTCTTTAGTCAGACCTTGGTCACTTTTTACCCACTTCAAAATCAGTCTACATCTTTAAATTTTATCAGACCAAGCAATGCCCTGACAATTCCTGCCAAAGACAAATACCGACTGTACGTTTCCCCCAAATAATCGCCTCTATACAACTCCCTAACGACATTTAGACCTATCACACTGTATCTGTATACATCTCGTTCCAAATTTAGGACAATGATCAGACAGATTTAATTTAAATACGTCATAAACGAGGACGCTTAGGCCGAGTTGCACCACCTAACTTTGACCGTAACTATGACGATAACCGGTGCTTTTTGTATGGAGTTTGACAGATTTTTGACGTTTGTCAAAGTTAAAATAAGATGGTGCAACCCACCCTTACAATCGCAACCTTACAGGCAAAATGTATTATCTCGCAGAAACCCATGATTTGAGGATATTGAATTTATTATCATTATGGGCTTCGCTGTGAAGGGTTCGGGTGATTAAGCTCTTATGCTGCCTACAAGTGAGGTAATTTGAGAAATACCGGGGATATCTCGTCATAACCGAGGATAGCCCAAATAAAACGGCTCTCTACACGATACATGTATCCATAATATTATTTCCTTCTTTGAAGTCAGAAACAGTGTTGAGTAAAGCACATTCGCCAAAAATCAAGAAAAGTGCTCATCGTTTAATTTAAGTACAATAACATCATCGTCTTTGTGGAAATCCTTG